CTTTCCATAGTTTGGCTATTGTGGACATTGCTGCTATAAACATCGGGGTGCATGTACCCCTTCAGATCACTACATTTGTATCTTTGGGGTAAATACCCAGTAGTGTAATTGCTGGACCATATGGTAGCTCTATTTTCAACTTTTTGAGGAACCTCCACACTGTGCAGAGTGGCTGCACCAGCTTGCATTTCCACCAACAGTGTAGGAGGGTTCCCTTTTCTCCACATGCTCGCCAACATCTGTCGTTTCCTGACTTGTAAATTTTAGCCATTCTGACTGGTGTGAGGTGGTATCTCATTGAGGTTTTGATTTGGATTTCCCTGATGCTGAGCGATGTTGAACACTTTTTCGTGTGTCTGTTGGCCATTTGGATGTCGTCTTTGGAAAAATGTGTGTTCATGTCTTCTGCCCATTCCTTGATTGGATTATTTGTTCTTTGGGTGTTGAGTTTGATAAGTTCTTTATAGATTTCAGATACTAGCCCTTTACCTGATATGTCATTTGCAAATATCTTCTCTCATTCTGTCGGTTGTCATTTGATTTTGTTGACTGTTTCTTTTGCTGTGCAAAAGCTTTTTATCTTGATGAAGTCCCAATAGTTCATTTTTGCTCTGGGCTCCTTTTTTGGTAGCTCCTTTATCTCCTAGGTCTTGAATGAAGAGCGTGATGGTAGTATATGAGAGGTGTTTTTTTTAAAAAAGATTTTATTTATTTATTTGACAGAGAGAGAGAGGGTACAAGCAGGGGGAGTGGCAGGCAGAAGGAGAGGGAGAAGCAGGCTCCTTGCTGAGCGGGGAGCCTGATGTGGGGCTCGATCCCAGGACCCTGGGATCATGACCTGAGCTGAAGGCACACACTTAACCGACTGAGCCACCCGGGTGCCCCATATATGAGAATTTTTTAATGGCACACATCATTGTACTTATAATCAAATAACCAGGACATAGTCATATGGCCATGGCCATCCCTAAGTACAAGGGAGATTGAGAAATGCAGCATCCTGGGGAAAAAGAAAATAAATTTAATAGTTAGCCAGGATCTTTCAGTTTTCTAGTCATATGACAGATTAAGCTGATCAATTTATATTCTCTGACTAATATACACATTTATAAGCAGGCTGCAATGATGAGAAGTGGAGTCTAGTAAATTCTTTTATGTGTACAGAGTTCGCTGGATCTTATAAATTGGTCTATGGTCTAACCAATAATCCTTTGCTTCCCTGAATTACTCTATTATTTATTATCCCTATTTAAATGAAAATTACATTTTTTGCAGGGCTTTAAATTCTTTTAAATTATTGTATGCACTTGACATAATTTTGTTTTTCTTTGGCTGTTCAGCTTAGCGCTTGCATTTATTATTTATATAATTTTTAAGAAATATTTCTATTTTCCTTAGTTTTTTTTCCCTCCCTTTCAAACCCACCAAGGTTGTTTGTAGAACGGAACATATGATAATAAGTGGCAAATTTGGGTCATTAGAGAGTATTCCATCTCTTAATATTGCTATACTACTCTGAAAAATTTGGCATATTTAGAAATGAAGGTAATAATACCTTATAATTTTGAATCCTATATGCCTTTGTATTCTCAGGGCCTTGGTGTTTTCGATATTTATGAAGATCAGCAAAGTTAATAGGCCCTAACCATGGCTATTTACAAGCATATGTATTACTAAGATATTTTTTAACAGCATTCATCGTATGATACACTTGCCGATTAACTTAACTGGTTAAAGGGTTTCATTAACAAAAGCCCTGTGATTTTGTTCCCAAATCAGTTTAATTTTGTTTCATAGACACATACCTTACCTCTGATAGACATTAATAATTTCATAACCAGTTAGTTAAAAGTCCTCTCCTACGTACACGTGCGTATGTGTTTGTGAGACGGAGTCCAGTATCCTCAGTTCAGAAGTTACATTGCTGTGTGTGTGAGGGGCTTTGAGTGGAAGCGTCAGCCTCTGTACTACTTCAAGTGAGTGGATTTGTTTCCTGAGCTTTAAAGATGAACAAGCTTTTAATCCAGGAATGAGCAGAGATAGTAAAAGAAGAAAAGGAAAGTGAATTGGGTGTTAGGATATGAGGATCCTAAGAGCTGGCAGTTCAGGGGGGAGCATAGTCTAGTCAGAAAAGCAAGCAGCCAACGTGGGTATCCCGGAGAGTATGGGGAGAGAATACTGAGAGAGTCGTTAACAGGAATTGTACAGCATCCTTCAAGCCTTCTACTCATTTATCTTATATTAGTAGCCCCTGGGTGTTAACAGGTGAGGAAAATGAAGCGCATCGTTCTTCCAAGTCTTGTTCTCATTTTGGGCTACACAGAAATGTTACTGTTACCATTTGTACGATGACTAGTTCACGCTAGGTAAATGGGTGAGGCTACGCACAGCCCCCTGTAGTCACTGAGGAGCATACATGTAACCCATTCCTCATATCAAGTTGGGAATCTCTGCTTCAACCAGTGGTTCTCTAACTTTACCCTGCATCAGAATCACCTATAGCATTTGGCCAAAAAGTCACAGATTTCTGGGTCCTGCCCCAGAATTTCTGATTCAGTAGGTCTGGAATGGGGTCTGAGAATTTGCACTTTAAAAAAAAAAAAAAAAGATTTTATCTATCCTCTTGACAGAGAGAGAGGGAACACAAGCAGGGGGAGCTGCAGAGGGAGAGGGAGAAGCAGACTCCCCGCTGAGCAGGGAGCCCGATGCGGGGCTCTATCCCAGGACCCTGGGATCATGACCTGAGCCGAAGGCGGACGCCTAACGACTGAGCCACCCAGGCGCCCCGAGAATCTGCACTTCTAACAAGTTCCCAGGTGATATGGATGCCATTGTCCCAGGGATAGTCTCTGAGAATCTCTGCTCCAGAAGAACTTGTAACTTGCTTACTTTGTCGCAAATAATGAAGCAGCAGTAGGTTGTTTCTGCAGATGATTGTGATTGGATGCTTGTCTGTCTCACCAACTCACTTCTGTTTTATTGTCAGTCACCAGGCACAAAGGGTATTATTTTTCAGTACTCTGACTTATTCTAAATGGATTCATATCATGAAATCATATAGCTTATATTGTCACTGTAATATGAATAGTAATCTGTTTAAAATAAGACAGAAAGGTTGAAATTCAAACTTTATTTTATAAACATTATTTTGTGGTTCTATATTTAGTTTACCTTTCACATTTAAGAGAGATCTGCAGTACCAATATTTGTCACAAGATGGCATCAAAAGGCTGAAGATTTTGGTTGAAACTTCATTTTTGAGAGTTGGATGTATTTCATGAGTATTCAAACCAAAAGAAATTTGTACCATGAGGTATTTTTTTTTAATATGGGTGATATTTTGGTATTTTCATATCAGAAATACTTTCTTATTTACTTATAAAAATAAAATAGGCACATATATTGACATTATTGATGACTAATTCTTTTAGAAATCAGTGAAACATAAATCTTAGTGTAATAGTATCCAATATCTTATCATCTTTTCCCAAGAAGGATTTCAAAAGAATTCAAGTTAGTAAGCATTTAAAGGTCTTACTGTCCTGTGATTGATAACGTCCCTTTATGCAAATAGACGATGTAAACCCTGTCCCCAATGAGCTTTGAATTTAGTTGGGGGGGCAAAAGAAATGTATATACAGTTCAAAGAGATAACAAAATAATAAAAATGATTAAGTACAATGTAGTACGATATGGATTATACAAACATTATGAAGAAGAATGAGGCCAATTAAGCAAAAATTTTAAATGGCATTTTACAAAAAATCTTTGTATCAGTTGAAAACACCATAATGAATCTTCCTTTTACTGCGATTATCTATCTATTATTATTATAACTTATTTAAACTATAAAGAAGTGTTTGGCAATCTTGAGAGCTGTGTAAGTTTCAGTATTTGACATAAACGTCAGAAAACACTCGAAATATGAACTCACCTTTTATTTCATGAATATATAATTTTATTTTTTCTGATTAATTGAAAAAAGATTTCTTAGAAGAAGGTGAAGGTTTTGTGGTCACAAAGATAGTAGTTAAAATATTCTTAGATTCCTGGAGTCTGAAAAACATATCTATTAAAAAATCAAGTGTAGAATGGTGGTTACCAGGGGTGGGGGGTGGGCAGAAAGGGGATTTGCTGTTTAAGGAGTATAGTTTGAGTTTTGCAAAATGAACAAGTTTTGAAGATATGTTTCACTGCTCTGTGAATATACTTAGCACCATCAAACTGTGTACTTAAAAATGGTTAAAGTGGTAAATTTTTTTTACCACAAAAAGGAAAAAAAACAAGTATCCTTTATAAATTATGAGCAATTAATAGGTTTATATTGAGGATCAACAGTGTTCCTAGCTTTATTTTAGCCATTAAGAGCTACTTAAAAGAAATAAATACCCCTTCAAGAAGCTTATAATGTAATTAATTGGTGATAGAAGATTAACCTAATTATTAGTAGGTCATCTACTAGAAGTCTAAATATAGCAAGCATTGTGCTGGACATTTTATATAAGTTATTTCCAATCTTTAGTTCTCAAAACAATATAGGAAAAAATAGTACTATCATCCCAGTTTCCCTATTTTATCACTAAGGAAACTGTTTTATAGATATGAAGGTTCAGCACCTTGTTCAAGGTTGCACAGTTTCTAATCTTGGAGTTGGTGTTTTAACCTAAGTCTGTCTAGCCTCAAAATCCATTTTCCCTATACTACACCATGCTCCTAATTTAAATAAAAAGTAATTAAAGAATACATATAAACAACCAGTAATTTGGGACTCTAGTTTGGTATTTCTGCTGTTGGTTAACATTGCCTGTTATATTATAATTATGCTGACAAAATTAAAAGATACGTGCTATAATAAATGGTAGCAGTTAATTGGGATTGTATTTTAACTTCAGAAAGGATAAGCATAGGATTTTTTGTTGTTGGTTTGAACTGCCTTCTCTTTTGATTTGTGTTTAACTTTTGGAGACACTAATTTTTCTTCCCTCTGTCTTCGTGTGCAGGTTATGTGGGTATGTAATTTGTGCCGAAAACAACAAGAAATCCTCACTAAATCAGGAGCATGGTTTTATAATAGTGGATCTAATACACCACAGCAACCTGATCAGAAGGCTCTCCAAGGACTGCGGAATGAGGAGGCGCCTCAGGAGAAGAAAGCAAAAGTGCATGAGCAGGCCCAGTTCCAAGGACCCTCAGGTGACTTATCTGTACCTGCAGTGGAGAAAAGTCGCTCTCATGGGCTCACAAGACAGGATTCTATTAAAAATGGGTCAGGAGTGAAGCACCAAATTGCCAGTGACATAGCTTCAGACAGGTAAACATTTTGTTTAATCTTTAGGTAAACATTATTTTTAACCTTCATTCCAAACAGAAATAAAAATATATGAAATGTTTAGGCAACAAGTTGTCTAAATGTAATGTCAATGTCCATGTGTTATATATAAATGCCGGAAGTGATGTTCAGGACTTGAGCTTTTAGAAGTTTGAACAATCTTAGGTTTATTCTGATTTTCCAGAAGGAAGAAATGAAATAAAACAGGGGATTTAGATAGAAGGCTATTGGCATAGGAAAGACAGACTGGGATAAGAGCCATGGGAATGAAGAAGAGATGCTTTTAAGACATTTTAGAGAGGTTGCATTGAAGGAACTAGCCAGAAGTGGGAGGTAAGAGAATGGGAAAAGTTACTGAGGTCTCTAAAAGTTCCACCTTGGGCTGAAGGATGAGGTAGTTTTCCAGGCAGGTAGATCCCGATGAAAGGATTTCACAAGTTTGCTGTTATCTGTGGGCTAACTCTGTTACTACTATTTGGGATCAATTCCATGGGCTTCTTCGTGTTAAAAATGTTAGACTTTTACAAATAGTATTTATGGTTCTATGTTTCCTGCCTTTGGAAGGGGAGAATGAAACATTTTCATGGGAAGATTATTTTTCTATACCACATTCCTATTTGAATTGCAAATTAAAAAAAAAATCTGTTTTATACTATTTCTGTCACCCAGAAGTGGCCAATAAATTTCTGTGTGAATAAGTCCAAAGTCATGCATTTGTGGAAAATCAAACCTAAAATTATACTAATAGGATGGTGGGTTCTGAGCATTCATTTATCACAGGTAAGATAATTGGAAGTCACTTTATACAGTGCCTAAAGTGTCACCCCGATGTATTGCTATGTCTTAGGAGAATAATAAAATGATGACTTCACCAGTTCTTTTGAAAACTAGCAAAAGTTAAACAATGTAATCCTATCTTTGGGCAAAACAGTGGTGGTTTCATGGCTGAAATACCATGAACATGTCTCAGTGTAAAATCTCAGGAACCCAAGAATTTTAAGTTTAGAGGACCATCTTCGATTGAGGTCCACCTTAAGCAGACAAAATAGTTTATTTGGAGGGCGGACCCAGGCACCACCTATAGGGGAGTGAGCAATGATTCGGTTAAGAGAGAAAAACACAATAGTAGGTGTATTCAAGAGCAGGTTACCTCTTTTGGCCAATGTGTCTCAATTTTACTGAGACTTCTGGGAGACAGGGTACAATGGCCTCAGAGTTATCCTACCTAATGGGCAAGGAGATTGGGGTATTTATCCCTATCTCTCCTTTGTTATTGGTCTGGGGTTGTTCCGGAGGGTGTTAACTCTTTGGAACTCACTGGCCAAGCATGTTCTTGTGGCCAGAGAAAGCACTCAGGCAGAGTATTACAAATATGGTAAGGAGACAGTGCTGTGTAGGGACTGGTAAATGATGAGGCAGTGTGAGTGGGGAGGACTTTAGAAATCAATAAAGCCTGTAAAATGGCAACTACAGTGGTCACGGTATATGAATTTGGGTGAAAAAATAGATGATAACCAGTGGAGGTAGGATTTTCAATGAATGAATGACTAAGTAAAACGGATAATGCGAACATAGATGCATTCTGCAAAAACTAGATAGATACATGAGATAGTTTCCTTTGGAGTTTAGAAAGATGGTTTAGGAAGAATAAAAGGAAATACTAAAACACTAGATCATGTAATAGATTATGAAGTTTTGGGATGCATTTCATCAGGAAGTTGTGGATGTTAAAAATAAATCCAACAAGTTTATGAATGATTAATTCATCTTTGTAAGGAAGCTAGATTCATCTCTCTAATCTTTGAAGATGGCGGTGATGAGAACAAATATATCTCTTTCAGTATTATCTCTCAACTCTTCTGTTGACAAAGGATTAGCCTGGATGAACAGTAGAATCTGATCCATTGTGGGGAAGCAAGATATAGTAGTTCTTTTTTTTTTTTTCCCTTCTCTTTTGCCCGGTGACTTTGGCTGCCATTACTAGTAAGTGTGTACCTTAATGACTCAAAGTATTCTGTAAGTATATCCTTCCTTTCTGAAGCTCATATAAGTCAAACCAGTAGCTCCTTTTGTGTATAAGAATTACTCTAGTGGGCGCTTGGGTGGCTCAGTTGGTTAAGCGACTGCCTTCGGCTCAGGTCATGATCCTGGAGTCCCTGGATCGAGTCCCGCATCGGGCTCCCTGCTCGGCAGGGAGCCTGCTTCTGCCTCTGATTCTCCCCCCTCTCATGTGCTCTCTCTCTCTCGTTCTCTCTGTCTCAAATAAAAAAAAAAAAAAGAATTACTCTAGTCAGGAAAGAAGAGTGTTTTAGATTTAGTAGTTATGCCTAGAAAATGGAATTGGTTATTATTTGTAAAAGCTTTTATTTGAAAAATACTTTCTCTTCAAGAATAATTCAATTCCCCTTATCATAAGCAAAAACAGAGCGTTTGTTTTATTATTTTTAAATGTAGATTCTGTAGCAATTTGTCATGTGTGCATCTATGAACCCACGGAATTCTTTCTCCTAGAGCATGGGGTCAGCAAACTGTGCCTCCAGGCCACATCTGGCTTGCCTCCTGTGTTTTGTAAATAAAGATTTCCTGGAACACCCCATACTATTCATTTACTTAGTGTTTCCTGGCTATTTTCAGCTACAACTCCAGGGTTGGGTAGTTTTAAGGGACTATATGGCTCTCATAGCCTAAAATATTTACTCTGACCCTTTGCAGAAAATGTTGGCCAACTCCTACCCTAGAGAGTAGTTAGTTCTCTTGTTCTGTTGATAGGTCTGCTTTCTTTGCCCATTTTTTGTTACTCTTTAAATCATTTCAGTTAAGCCTGTTTTCTTGTAGATATACCACATCTTCTTTATCCATTCATCTATGGATGGACATCTGAGCTCTTTCCATATTTTAGGCCTGTTTTCTTGTTCTGCTTTCTCCCTGTCCCTCTCCCAGGCTCTCCCTCCCTCTTTCCTTCCTTTTTTTCTCTGGGTCCCCTGTCTCTCTCTCTTTCTCTTTTTCTCTCCGCATCGCTCTCCTTCCTTACCAGAATGGATCTTCTAGCAGTTTGAGCTAGACAGTGAAATGGAGCTACTGATAAGGAATATAACTTCGGTTTAAAGTATTATTAGTAATTTGTTTCCTCAGTATCATTCAGAAACTAGTGCTCTCAAGAAGAGAAGCTTTGGCTCAATTAATTTAAATCTCTATAGATCTTAGAATTGTGTTTGACAGATACAAAAGTATTTTACATTTTCTTCTTTTAAGGAGTTTTAGTTTAATCTTTAACTACAGGAGCTTTGACCTGTTTTATGACTTTTTTCTTCCCTCACAGGTTTTGGACGCTTAGTATTTATTGAGTGAATGAATATCAATTGGCCCTAGATCTTGGCTTTGAGTTAATGAATATTTACCTAATTAGTTTATTCATAACAATGGCATATGTTTATCATCAGTTTAGATGCAAAATATTGTTAGAAGTTTTCAAATATGTTTTTTATTTCAGAATAAATTTTGAAATCACCATTTTTAAAAAATTATGTGCAGTTTGCTTACCCTTTGTTATGTCCCTCAGGAATGCCCAGTGGCTTCCCAGCCTTTAATTTACACTCATATAATGTGGTGACCTTGTTAAAATATAGATTTGAATTCTGTACTTCTGAAGTAGGACTTGATAATCTGTATTTTCACAAGCTTCCAAGTGATACCAGTACTTCTCGTGCAGGCCGGTAGTGAGGCAGCAGGGCATCTAAGAAGATCTTCGGGAGGGAAACACCACTGGCCTTTAATAGCTCAATGGCGGTTGTCCTCTTTGGCTCTACCACCAAGAGGCATACCACTCAGTGCACATGTAAGGTTCTTAGAAGCGACGTAATCGTTCATTTGAATATACCGTTCTGACATATTTATTGAATGGAGGACAAAGGTGGAAACCAGCTAGCTACCTGGTGGCAGATTGACTACATTCATGTAGCTGCAAGCACCTAACTCCTTTATTATGATGTTGTGGCTGAGCATTTACTTATTTAAATATGTTCTATTTTTTATAAATTACTTATTTCCCTATTATTATACAGTAAGGAATATATATATCTTAAAAGTTATATATATATTATATATAATAATAATAAAATAAAATAAAAATATAATAATATAATATTCCTTATATATAATATATATTATATTCTCATATATATATTATATTCTCTCTCTCTCTATTTCTCCTTTGCTCATTTGTTTTGTTTCTTAAGTTCCACATGAGTGAAATTATATAGTATTTGTCTTTCTCTAACTTACTTCTCTTAGCATATAAGTATATATATATAGTTAGGACATTTTACCTCTGGATTCATTTTCAAAAGAGTAAAGGGGATGTTACAGAATATTTATTTTACAGAGAGGCCTTGGGCTGGAGGAGGGATGTGAACCGCTGGGTTAAGGAATCTAAGGTGGGATCTAGAGGAGGGTGGGTGAAATAACCATGTAAAAACTAAATTTTCGGGACACCTGGGTGGCCTGGTTGGTTAAGTGTCTGCCTTCGGCTCAGGTCATGATCCCAGGGCCCTGGGATCGAGCCCCACATCTGGCTCCCTGCTCAGCGGGGAGCCTGCTTCTCCCTCTCCCTCTGCTGCTCCCCCTGCTTGTGCTCTCTCTCTCTCTGTCAAATAAATAAATAAAATCTTTAAAAAAAATAAAAACTATATTTTTGTTAAGAAAATAAAACTAAATAAAAACTAAAATAAATTTGTCTTACAACATTTAGTTGACATTTTATACACTTGAAATTATTTAAAAGTTGGATGCTTCATAATTTTCATAGTTGAAAAGTAGTTAAAATTTAGGAAACAGTTAATTTTTTTCTTTTATGTATAATTTTAGTATTTATTTAGCACTTCCTAGGACATTGGGAGAAGTTAAAAAGTAAGAAATATTATGGCTAATTTGTTTGGTGAAGGGATGAAAACTGGAAATCAGAAGGCATAGTTACTGTTCTTACT